TGACAGCACTTTGGGGTGACTAGAAGGTGACCGGTGACTTTATGAGGTGAAAGGTCGTCAATTTCGAAGCCGATTGCGTGCAGCGGAGCATCCAATTTCGCCGTCTTTGAAGATGATGACGAAGGTGGTTGTTGGTTTCCTCCGGCGGGCGGTAGCGAGTCCATCATTCTCTATCACTGATCAGATTATCTGCCTTGTTGTTGAAAGTTTGTCTTGCTATTTGTCAGCAAGTCAAAAATTGATGAGCAATATAATGAGATTTAGTGGATGAGCAGTCCGAGAGTCAGTATTTTGTATCTTTGTGAATTTCAAAAGTGGTCAGGAATGGGTTAGGTGTAATATGTGTATGCTAGAGTTCGCACCAGTGTTAAAGTAATTAACAGTATGGTAGTGGATTGCCGATTATTTATTTATTTATTTAATATTTATATTTTATTGTAATCAAGTGATAAATAATAACTAATGAATAAGACGGTGATGACTATGAAAGATGTGAACATTGCACTATTTTCATAGAATGTTGATGATGGTCTTAGTCTTTCACTTAGAATCAGTGTTTTTAAAGGCGTAATGTGTGACGATGTGTGGAGGTCAAACTATGTGTTATACGAGTTAAGGTGAGACATAGGCGTAAAAAAAAAAAAAAAAACGTAAAATGCATTTTCTTATTTTTGATTTTTAATTAATCGAAAAATCGTTTAATAATTAAAATAATACCTACCAAACATTGAAAACAAATTTAAATTAAAAAAAAAAAGATAATTAAGCAAGACTAGATGCGCAACAATTGCTGTTGACCGCTAAATAAGCCGCCAAACCAAGAGGCTTCGCGTTTTCACCATACACCGCGCATTGGCGGCACAAATTTAGAATTGTGCTTAGAATTATACTACAGTGACATAATGGTTGATATAATACCACATGATACTTCATTATTGGATTGTTTTAAATATAGTCAACTTTTCATCAAATTCATTGCCAAATCACATTATGTCACTTTATTTGTCAACCACTTTCTGTCAAAGTCGCATAACCCTTTCACTTATCCATTATCAAAATATCGGTAACCCTATTTACTTAAAATAATCCATTTTGTCAAGACTTATTAATATTCCAATAATCAAGCATTTTCCATTTTACATTAAAAATAATTTAAATTTATTTGATATTTTTTTATTTTATGAAAATTTAGAAATTGAAAAATCAAATTGTGCAAGTCTGATGCATAAAAGAGTATTTGAATTTATTTTTAAAATTTTCAACTATATGGATTATGTTTTAAATTTGTAGTTTTACAAATTCTGAGATTTAATTGATTTTATTTTTAATTTAAAATAATTATAATGAATATATTGTCTTAGAAAAATATTTGATAATGTTATTTATCTATTGACATAAAAAAACAAAGAAATTACTAAGGCCAACTGTCAAGTTTTCTGGCTGAATTTTCGCATACGTTTTTAGGTTTCGGGTGTGTTAGGAGTCAAATGTGCAATATGAAGATAGTGAGACTCTGATGTTATTTTGTCAGAAAGTGCCATTTAATCGAAGAAAATTTTGATTTTTCAAGGGATCAACAAGACAACTCCTGTTCATAAGCATGGTTTACAAAAGCCTATGTATGCATATGTCATACGTGTTACATTTATCATACTAATTATTTACATTACAATAATGCTATGGGTACAAGAAATAATTCATGGAAAGTACAGAATTCAAAAAAAATTGAGCTAGCATTTAAAAAGGGCAAAAGAAGTGAAAATAAAAATGGAAAATAAGCAAAACATAAGTTAATGAAAAAGTCAATAATGTCTTAAAACTGAGAATCCACGCCATTTCTCCCAAAATAGTCCCCTCCACTCCGTCGCTCATTACTCTACATCTCTGGCCAACGTCCCACTGACCGACCCAATATGATTTTTATGCAACTTATATGACCATTCTCTCATTCAAATCTTGAAGAAGAAATTGACAGAGGAGATCACATTTAGGGTAAAAATTTATGTTCTTTTTGTGGGTTTATGGCATTTTTATTTTTTAAATTTTACAAAAAAGTCCTATTTTCCCTTCATAGGTTTTTCTTCCTCTATTATCTCTCTCTCTCTCTCTATTTTTTTTTTCCCATTGAGAAGTTTATTACAATGTATTTTTTTCTGATGCAAAAAGGATTTTTTTTTTGAACATGAAAAAAAATCCTACTATTTCTTGATTTTCATATGCATCTTGTGAATCATTTTTAATTATGATTTATTTAATATTTTCCATCTTTGTTTAAAGAGTTGGACTAATGCTTATATCCATTGTACTGTAAAATTGATTTATGTTGATTAAGATCGATTCACGTTGTTTTAGTTGTTTCTTCAGCCGATATCGACTAGAATGAGATGATGAAACTTTGGAGTTTGTTACAGTCGCAAAAATGAGACGTCGACATATTATTGCATATTTGCAGGTGACTTTCAACAAGGAAAAAGGAATTGCTAGAATGTGACAGGAAAGGAAAGGTTTCGGATTGAACGGGTGATTTGAATTACGTTTGTGGTAGAAAGACTAATATGATATTGATTTCAATTTGTTATGTGGAATTTGAATTGAAAAACCATGTTGGGCAAAACATAGTTGCCAAGGGATGATTCCTTGCCCGGTTCTCCGCCTTTTTGATTTCTGATTACATATTGTCACTCTCGTTTCTGCTAGAAATAAACCCACTATATGAATACATATTGTCACTCTCATTTCCGCTAGAAATTAATAATATTATTATAATAAGAAAGTGTTTTACTTCTTTTGAGCTTAAAACCTTCGGATTCATTTAACATATACAACCAAAATACTTATCAATGTCATGATGTGGAGAATTTCAATGTTAAAACAATAACAAATAAAAAAAAAAAGCTAAGATAGAGAAAGGCAACCAATTAGACGATACAAGTTAAAGTTGTGGGGTTGGAAAATGATTGTGATTGCAAGAACATGTTTAGCCCAACAATATATGGAAAGGAATAAAGACTGCTTATCCAACTCAAATTCTAGAAGCCCCAAATTTTATACAAAAAAAGTAGTCTAACATTATGTAAACTGCAATATCATCGTAAAGGTCAATGCAGAAACTGATTTTGCATGCCACAATAATGGATTTCTCAGGCCTTGTTATCTCAATATCTACAAAATGTCCCAACGTTCTAGAGCTATAATATGTTTTCTTTAAACCCGCATACATATTGTGGCTCCCAATTAAAACAATTCAACACACAAAAACTTCTTCACTTCCCAAACTGGATGGAGTAAATACAAAACTACAACCTTCATGACTAGCCTCTGCTATCTTGATCGGGTAAATGTTGATAGAAGGATGACATGACAAGATCTAGTTTAGAAGATGACAAAACAGTACACACGTAAATGATAGTTGCATACATAAATACCTAAGAAACCTAATATGTTTACATGCAGCATTGACTATAACATTTGTCGGCGGCGAACGGACCAAAGTTGAATACGGCAACTGTTGTGTGATGGTTTGATTGACATTGTAACCCTAAATAAATCGATCTTATGGAAACAGTGGATATAAGCATTAGTCCAAGTCTTTCAATGGAAAATATTAAATAGATAAAGAAATAAATAAATAAATCATAGCCCCCGTTTGATTCACATTATTGTAAGAATGAGATTGAAAAATATAGTCGTTACGGGACCTACACAAGAGAGAGGAAGTCAAATATGGTGGCTTGATGTGATGGATAACGGTTATATTTATCATTTTTTTGGCCAAAGAATGAAAAACAAACGGGATCATAATTAACAAAACATCAAAATGATTTACAAGATGCATTTGAAAATCAAGAAATCGAAGGATTCCTTTTTCATGTTTCAAAAAATTTCCTTTTGCATCGAAAAAAAAACATTGATAATACATTTCTCCATGGAAAAAAGAAGAGATAGCAGAGGAAGAAAACCCCATGAAGGAAAAAATAGGAATTTTTAGTAAAATATAAAAAATAAAAATGCCACAAACCCACATAGAGAACATAAATTTTACCCTGAATGTGCTCTTCTCTATCAATTTCTTCTTCAAGATTTGAGTGAGAGAATGTTCATATAAGTTGTATAAAAATCATGAAATATGCTTAAAATAACTGATCAGAGGTTTAATTGGGTCGGTCGGCGGGATATTGGCTAGAGATGTAGAGTAATGAGCGGCGCAATGGCGGGATTATTTTGGGGGAAATGGCATGGATTCCTGGGTTTAAGACTGACATTTTTGACCTTTTCTTTAACTTATGTTTTGCTTATTTTTCATTTTCATTTTCACATTTTTTTTTGCCTTTTTTAAATGACAATTCAAATTTTTGAATTTCTATACATTTCCTGTGAAATGTTTCCTGTATCCATAGCATTACTGTTTACATTATCACTTTGGTAGAAATCATGGCACAAAGTGTGGGTGATGCACAGGGATGTTGGTTACTGAAAACAAAGAAATTGTTTGCTACTCTGCTTATTTTTCCTTTTCTATGTGCTATTACCGTTGGAATGCAGAAGTGAAATTATCCAAAAATTAAAACTTTCTTTGATACAATAAATAAGATCGTCTAAATGTTCACGTGTATGTTTTATAAAAAATAAAGAATTCAAATTTTTATCTAAATTCTATGACCAATTATTGAATTAAATTTGAATGACAAACTTTCAACTTTTTAATTACAAGAACTTGATGTTTCAAATTTTCTATAATATTTTTCAAAGTAAAGATTACACAGGTAGGTGGACACCCGATAATTAGGTAAGTATAAATGACCGTTTTGCCATTGTAATTATTCTCACTAACTTAAGTATCATTTTATTTAACGATCCCATGAACTAATCATAGATGTCGAAATTTAGTTGTCGTCAAACATCGAGCTCAGATTTTAACTGTTTAACTAAAATACTTAAGTAGTTACTTTACTCATTTTTCAGGGTAACGGTTCCCGGCATAAATTCCTTGACACATGGTTCGTTCAATGCATTCAAAGTACACTAATGTCAACTTTAACTATATCTGCGATAAGGATAAATTATAGACCTGAATAGTGAATTGGTCAACACTACGACATTCCAGTATAAGATGTCAATCCTTATACATTGGTTGTGAACAAATTACTTATGATAAAAAAATATAAGTTTTTGGATTTAAAAACCCTAATTATATACTATAAAAAGCAATAAAATCACTGAAAGAAAATAAACATACAAGAACATGCAAGATTCATAAATATTTGATTCAATAAGAGATTTGTCCTGGTTCACGCATTGTAATAATTTACTATGATGAAAAATTTTTACAAGAGAAAGTCACATACTCTGTTTTCTCTACCCAGCA